TTAAGATATCTTAAATTTATAAGAAAATTCATACATAATAATTTACTTGTAAATTTTATAGCATTTACTAAATTAAAAAAAAACTTTTTAATTAACTCTAGAAAATAACTTTATTTTCATGATTCAAACGTGTATCAAAAATTCCTAAAGAATAAATAAATATTTGAAAGAATAGGATGGCTAATTATTATAATTTATTAAATCGCAGCGTCTATCAGTCTGACTATCAGCTGATAACCATTGGTCTGACTAATATTCATTTTCATTATTATGAAAATACGTTTTTTGCTAAAATTTTCGTTCACATACAAATAAGTAATTTTAGCCTAGAGTATAAACAATGACATTTTGGGCAGATACCGAAATAATGCCTGAGCAAAGCAAGAAATACTACGAGGGCAACATTTTCACAATAGACCAAAAATGGTTGCAGTGACATCATATAGCCGCAAAAATGAAATTAAAAAATAAGGGCAACATATCCCTATTTTTGATAATATTTTGATTAAAAATATTATAAAAAATGTTATCAGGCAAAACTTGTTGGGGATTCTTAAATTTTTTAGGACACAACAAAAATTACAGATAGGATAGATAGGATTATTTTATTATGCATCGAGAATGACTGTGCAGATTTCAATTATTGATTTCTTTTTGTATATATAAAAATCTGAATACCTTATACAATTAATACAAAACATCAAACAAATTAACAACATATGAATATCAAGCAAATTTTGTATATCTAATAAATATACATTATACAGCGTGCACTGAAACCTAAATTACTACAATGTTCGCAAATTACACGTTGTGGTCGGGATGAAATATTGAAGTAAGTGACGTTGTTCAGAAATCGTGTACAACCAAGTTTATATGTCTCTATACTTGTTTTGTTTAAACTACTAGTTTAGACTTTAGTCTTAACACAAGTGATGCGCTCAAGCGTTGTTTATACTAAGTAACTTTTGCAATGATTGTACCCTGATTTTAATCATCACTTAAAATGGAGAATAATAATAATAATAGTAATATTTTTTATTACACGCCATAAAAGAAACATAAATATTTATAAAAAAAAATACACAAAAAAATTTCAGTGGGCGGCCTTAGCGCTAGAAGCAATCTCTTTCAGGCAACCTTAAGGTGGAGGAGTAAATTTTCATTAAAAAAAAAACAGACAGAACGACAGAGAACACACATTGAATCTTGGAATCCATACTACCGATTAAAATATTCCTTGTTCAATATGCTTATTAGATAAAATATGAATTAACAAAAATAATTAAAAAATGTAAATGTGTTTTGTAACGTTATCAAATAATAAAATAAAAGACGGCAACAAATAAATAATAATTAACTTGATAACACGGGTTGAAGTCGCATGGCTAAAATAACCAACATAAAATCGTACCTCGTACTATTACTTTGACGACTCGTTTAGCTCAGTTTGTAGTGACCCTATTTTTAGTGCCAGCGGTCGCGGGTTCAAGTCCCGCTGGAGGGCATTCATTTGTGTGACGAGCACGAATGTTTGTACTCCAGTCATGGGTGCTTATATTTATAATATGTATGTATTTAAAAGTTATATATGTGTAGTGTATCAACTATCTGGTGATGATGATGATGTTCTCCCGACCGATTCCGGCCACGGTGGCCAATCTCATTGAGACTAGCCACCTGCGCAGGAGATATTATAGTGCACAAGTTTACGCGCAGACACAAGTGCACTCTCTATTCCTGTCACTCTCATATTCCGGTGGGACGACTGCTCGACATGACTAGTGAGAGTTAAGGCGCAGGACCGACGGCTTTACGTGCTCTCCGAGGCACGGGGGTGAAACACCGCTAACTTCCCAACTCCGGGCTGTTACTGAGGCTTACTTATACAGAAAGACTCAATAACTAAACTTGGCACACAGCACCATCTAGTTCCATGGTAAGCCTCGTGGCTTACCAGAACTAGATGGTGCTGTGTGTAAATGTTCCAACATATTTATTATTATTATTACTACGTCGATGCGTGGTTGAGCAACAAACATCTCAACATTCATACACCTCTACGAATTACAACACATAAGCAGACAAAAACAAATTTATATTATTATTAGGGACTTATTTTAATGGGGTGTTGCAGCATCACTTAAGCACTCAACCATGATGCCCCGACGGCTGCCTGCCGAGGCAGATCACCCCTCATCTCCCATAAAAAACCAGCAAGTTGCTCTGACCGTCCACTCTGCCATTTGAGAAGTACAATGAAAACCCCACCTCTAAACTTCATTCCTTTACCTTTTAGATTTCCAAAAGCTACTGAGAATCATCTCCCCCTACCCCGACACGTTAATAATCCCGATCCTGGGAAACCTACATCCATCTGCTGTCAGCCAATTTTCTTACATCATCTGTCCATCATGTTTTCTCATGTTTAATCAATACTCATATTTCTATAATAATAATAATAATCAAACATTATCTTACCGTATGACTCTTCCACAAGACTACTAAAATCAAATCACGCTTCAAATATTTAAAAAAAATCATTAATATTTACCTTACAAAACAAACATAAGATGTCAATATAGGTAGGTACACTAAAATTAAATTATCCTTCTTCCGGGAAAGTCGGCTAATGTGGGGTTTATCGAATAATTCTGAGACTCGCCTTGTACATCATATTTTCATTAAATTCCATATTGTTATAAGTTACTGGTCGTGAATTTTTAAAAGATATGTTCTCTTGGCTTGAATTTAGATGGAATTATGCTTGAAAATGCTCTATTTCCTTTCTATATTTGAGAACTGAATATACCTAACTAGAATTGGATATATTTCAGAAAAAATCGATTCGAATAACAACAATTTATAACTATTGTTACATACATAGAATACTTAATATTTTCTTGAAAAAGAGCATGTAAATAAAAGTTTTTAAAATTAGTTTACTGTTTAAGCGTTTCTAAGATCGACTGAACGAAAAATTGTTATGAAGTACAAAATATAGTGTAATTCATTTTATTAAATTAGCAACACAAACTCAAAGTAAGATAGTGTAGTGCAATAATAAAAGCAGCGTGTAACTATATACAAACATACATAAGTAATTATGACGTTAATTCGTTAAGTAATTACGAAGCTAATTGTATGCTTGTGACACCTAAGCGAATCCAGAGTGAATGGCTAGTAAAGTTATGAAATATACTAAACATTATTTTTTACTATGTGAAAATGATTTATAATTTAATTTCAACAAGCCCTGCATTTTCTGTGTGGTCTCACCCTAAAGCAATTTGTTACATAAAACAGTAGTTACTTATGAGAATGTCGTCGTAACTCACGTGTACAATAAGACATCTGGCTTTAGATGGAAGTTAATCTTCGCGTGTGTTTTTTGTTTAATGCTAAGAAAATTATAAAATACTAGTTCTCACCTATGACTTCGTTAGCGTCGTCAGTCTATATAAAGCCTGTGCTAGCACATTATATTTTAAATTCATCGATTCCTTACGAACTTATGCATTGATAATAAACTAGAATTGCCCGCGGCTCCGCCTGCGTTCAGATGACCAAAAACCAAATTCTTAGGTTTTACATATAAGAATACTCTTACATTGCAGTTTTTGTATTTTTTCTCAGAAATGAGACATTTTCCCGCGGTAAAAAGTACCCTATATGTTGACCCGGATAACTAACTGGTTATCCGGGTCACCATACCAAATTTCATCAAAATCCCTCCAGTGGTTTTTCTGTGATGCGGTAACAGACAGACAGAGAGACAAAAATTCTAGAAACTATAGATTCGGCCCCTGTATCGATAATATAAAGTATATTTCAATAAGATTTTCCACAAACTATTTAATGTACAGATTCGGCTTAGTTACAATTTTATTATATGTATAGATAGAGGTTTGGTTTGCTTAATCAATATTAAGATGGCACAAGATAACTTGTTGGAGATCCAGGATTTGATTCCCGTTTGCGATTATTTAAAGACACAGCGGACGATTTAAAACTACCTATAATAACAAGTATATCCAAAGATGAAAGGAAAAGATGTCACATAGCATTGTTATAAATTATGCGTGCTCATGTTTAACTATCCAAACAATCAATTATAGAATTCATGCTAATGATAATCGCGTTATCATCTTATATATTTTTTTCATTTTTAACTACCGACTCGAGAAGAGGGAAGTTATAAGTTTAACGTGTCTATATGTCTGTGGCGCCGTAGCGCCCAAACGGATGATGATGCATGATAATTTTTCTAGTATATAAAATTTCAATTTTAAAAATAAGTATATTATCATAATTATTGCATTTGATATGTTAATTTAACCCCGTCTGGGTGTTTGACTGTTGGAATTAATCGGCAGTACCGATTTTGATGAAGAGTTATTTAGACACCAGGATGTGAAGGAGATTGTATTTTTTTTAATCCTTTTAAGGCGATGAAGGAAGTCGTAGTCATAGGAGACGTATCAAAGAAAACATATAGACAAAGCCAAAGGTGAATAAATAGAAAATCATCTCCGAAATATTTATGAAAGTGGTTTAATGTTATGTATATATGTTAGTGAGACTCAAATTATAAATTATCCTTTTTTAGACGCAAATATGTCAAGTATTCTCTTGAAATATCAAGAGAAGGTTAAAATGTGTTAGGTACATTTATAATTCTGAGCAACTTTTTGATCTATTTTTCTGACGAATATATTTATTTCGTCTAGTCAATTAATATGAACGTAACTTTAAAACAAAAATAATTGGATATCGAAACGCTTTCGTCACTTTCAATACGGTTAGGTGGAAATTCAAAGCATATTTATTATATGTAACAAGTATATTTTATAAAAGTATAAGCATCAACAATCTTAACAATAAATAAATCAACTACAACATGAAGACCGTTGAAAATGACTTAAAATTAGATAACAATATTTACAAGGCACGGAACACACATACTACAAAGCACGCAACAAATCAAACATCAATACTCAATGGTAGTGGTGACCTTTGTGATGGATGGTTTTGTATACTGGGATTTTGACGGGGTATGGTTGGGGTACATGGACGGTCACGGTTTTCTCAACCTTGATGGGTACGTGCTTTTCGACTGGGTAGGGCACGTGTTTGACAACTGGGTAAGGCACGACTTTTTCAATTGGAATGGAGATTTCAGTTTCCACAGGAACAGCAACAGGTTTGTGGACAGGGACTTTTACGGGATAAGGCTGTGGGATTCCAATCAGGATGGGTTTAGGTACATTAATGTGAAGAGGTTTGTGGATGGGCACGGTAACGTGCTTGTACAGAGGTACTTCTACAGGATGTTCTTCGTCAATATGTTCTGAAACTGGGATAGCTTCAGCATGTCCGAAGTTGTGTTGATCTCCAAATTCATGACCTCCATCTTGCAGGACAAAGCCTTGTTGGTCTCCGTGACCTCCATTACCACCATAACCTCCGTTACCACCATACCCTCCACTTGAACCACCATTACCTCCAAAATGTCCAAAGCTACCACCATCTTGCCCACCATTGCCATGACCATTTAATTCTTGAATAGCACCGTGACCACCATCTCCGCCATCGTACTGCTGTCCTAAATCATGAACAGCTTGGAGATATGAATCCCCTCCAAAGCTTTGACCTCCATCGTGACCACCAAAATCAAAATTCTGTTGACCATGGCCGGAGTCTTGGCTTTGTACGAGGGCAATCGTATGATCATTTCCTTGTCCACCAGAGAAATCATGGCCACCTTGGCTTCCTAAGAATTGTCCTCCTTGACCAGAGAAATCATGACCACCCTGTGCTGCACCAAAGTCATGGTTTTGAGCACCAGAGAAGTCATTTCCTCCAGAATGGAATCCACCTCCATGATCTCCCAAACCATTGTTCCCTTGGTCATATCCCGATTCGAATCCGGCTTCGCATGTGGCGACCGCCAGCGCCAATAAACAGACCTGTAAAAAAGTCAACTATACTTAATTCATGTAGAAAATATGAAATCTTTTTCAGACATAAATCATATTATATATTTGATTCAAGTTTCGATAAATTTATTGTAAATTTCATGCGGCACTGCAAAATAAATCATAAGTCTACCATCTATTTCACCTACGACAGTATTCATATATATTTTGTATAATAAAAATCTGATATACTGACATGTATATTGTTATAAATAAAGGTCATTCATTGTCAAGTATTGTTGGGAGAAAATAGTCCGAGAGCCGAATACGCTGATGCAATCTCGTTAAATTTATTTAATTGGCAATTATTGAACGCATCGTTGGCCAAGCGCTTCCATAAATCACTGGTGGTACTCAAAATTTTAAAAACCTCATACAAACAGTAAAGTTTTTTCAGTCATGGTAAATTAGTTTTAGTTTAACATGCGAATGCTTCAAAGTATGAATTTAAAGGACATGGCAAAACTTTTAACGTACGGTGCTGTTACGCTAACGGGTAACTTTTGGCTGATTTTAAATCATTTTGCAATCGAGTTTTAGTTTTGAAATGCAAATACATTTTACGATTTCAGGAGGGTCGTTTGGTGTAATGACATCGTATTTATTTTTAAAATATTTTCTGTAAACAATTATTTTTTATATCGGTAAATAATATATAATCTATAATTATTTTAGTTGATTATAAGAAAAACCGCTTTTAATAATTGGGGATATATGGTATTCTTCAACATTAATAGTCATTAAAGAGTTAATAACAACATCCTGACTCCAACATCAGCTCGATGGCACCTTTACTTCTTAATAAAAACAAGTATTAAAAATGACTTTCAACTTGAATTAAAACAAATTAAATCAATTTATACTTTATTGCAATAGACGTTTACCAGCATTTTTTACATTTTCTAAATTTATATTAGCTGAGCATATTCTAAGGAATTTACCACTGTATTATATATTAAGATTTTAAACTTATTACTTACTAACAAACCAAACAATAAAGTCTATTAGATTTTTATTGTAGAATACGTATTCTAATTAAACTATGCAAATTCTTGAGACGTTACCTTTCAAATGTTACCATTCTCTTCCGTAAATCTCCAAGAAAGTTTATTATTTTTTTATACCTACATTAGCAACACATCACAGCTATTGAGTAATGCTACAAGTTTTTATATTTAACAAAAACACTTGTTTCTTTACCTTTCACTAAGAGTGCTTCGAATATACTTTAGTCATTCCGATTATAAATTAAATACTTGCTTTTGATCTTATAATAGTACGTATAACTTCACTATACATGTTTAATACATTCTACTAATATTGTCAATGCAAAAGTTTGTGAGGATGTATGGGTGTCTGGATGTACTCTTTTATGCAAAAACTACTGAATGGATTTTAATGAAACTTAATGATAATGTAGCTCATACATCAAAATAACACATAGGCTACTTTTTATTCCGGAAAAATGTACGGTTCCCGTGGGATAGATTTGTTTTTGTTTTTAGATCTTTATATATAAAATACCAGTGTGTGTTTGTTCATCAATCTTGTCCTCCTACACAGCGTGACCGATTTTGTTACTTTGTATATACTACTTGAGGGGTATCTGGATGGGTCTTAGTTATAGTTTAATTATTATGTTTTTATTTTTTTGTCATAGATTTCACACATAAAATATGGAGGACTGTGGCAAGACAATGTCTGTCCGCTAATGAGTCCGTTAATATATAGATTATAAAATGTTGTCCTTTTTTAACAAGGTTTTTTTGTCTATAAAAATACAGAAGGTCTTTTACTTCACTGTTATATGTAGTCGAGAAAGACATGAGTTGCGTTGCAAATTCGCATGAGAATTAATTGGGATAAATTTTAAGTTTCTTTACTCATGACCCGATTTAAGTAGCTGTTTTATGACGAGTTAAAAATATATAAACAAAATTATCTTTAGAGCTATAGAAACGGTAAAAAAATCAGAATAAAATATAAGAAACCTCAGTTTTAGTTTGTATAGGCGAATGTTAGAATTGTATTAAAAATATTAACAACATTAACAACAATTAGACAAATAGAAAAAATAACTAGAAATTTGTGTACAAAGTTTATAGAGCTTTGGATTAATACTCTCACTGTGATTAAAAATTGAAAAATGTTTTATAAGAGCGTAACAGACTTACAAGAACTTTTTGAACTTTTTAATTTTATTTTGAAAGTTTATATTACTTTATCAAAAAATTAACTTGAGCTTTAAATGTAATTTTAATAAGAAGCGTCGAATTCGCAAAAATATTTAAAATCTATATTCATACAATTATATTGAAACTAGTGACTTAACCTGACTTCGTTTAAGTTTTTAAGTACCTGAAATTAGCCTATATGCGATTCCAGGCTATAGTCTATTTAGGTACTGAATTTCATCAAAATCTGTCCAGTCATTTTAGCTTAAAGGAGTAACAAACAAATACACATATACAAATTATGTATTAATAAGTTTTTTCTATACTAGCAAGTATATTATACTTGTAAGTACTTATAAGTTCAGATCTAGGAGAAAACAAGTAGCTTAATTTCGTTGGAGAACGATTGCATCACAATACTTTTCCGATTCAAATTGAACTGGCATCGGCTTTTGTAAAATATTCTGAATAATAGAATTTCTTTTAGAAAGAAATACGATGATAAATTCTTTGGTAAAATAAAAATATAATGTGGTCGCGCTCCAGTTATAGCCAAATTTTTTACTCGATTGTAAAGTTGGCTGGTATTTTATTAAGTAACTTAAAATTGTTAAAGCAATGGAAAAGAATTCCGAATTGTATTGTTATAGATCAAAAAAGCTAGAAGCGAAATGCGTGACTGATATATTAAATATTTTGACGACACGTTTGGGTCAGTTTGTAGTGACCCTACTTACTGTACCAGCGGTCGCGGGTTCCAGTCCCGCTGGGGGAATCAATTGTGTGATAAGTACGAATGTTTGTCTTCCAGTTATGGGTGTTTATATGTATTTATAATAATATTTGTATAAATGTTGTATATAATATGTATTTATATAGCTGGTATCCATAACACAAGCCTCGCAGCTTACCATGTAACTAGATGGTGCTGTGTGTGAATATACCAACATATTAATTTTATTTTAGGAATATGTAAATATTTCGTAGACGTAATATAGCATATATATGTATATATTAGAAAATATTTAATCATACATATTGAACTTGTAGCTTTTAATAGCACAACCCATACTAAAAATAAGTTTATTTTAAAATTGTTATCAGCACTCCTATACAATGTAATTGCTGGACGGATTTAAATAACATTTAATACGTACATTGATAGACTGTGGAGTGATACATAGGCTACTCATCATAAAGTTTGCCAAAAGATGGCGCTACTTGTATATAAGATTACAAATACAGAAATTTAGGGATGCACTCAAGCGAAGCGAGGGTATATCGTTTATACTATATTATATAAATCGAAGACGTTTTAGCACATTTCTTACAGATCTCCAAAAGTCAGTGAATCACTCGTCCACGCTTCACTGATTCCGTTATGACATTCAAGTTATTGTAACGTTGTTATATAATACTAATAATAGAATGTTACTCTACAAGGGTTCGGTGAATCACTTAAGCAAAGCTCGCAATAACAAAATGTTCATCTAACTCAGTGGCAGCGTGAATACATTAGCTCTAAAGCCGGACATTGTAAATTTGATAAAAACTCGAGATGATTAATATTGACTTTTTTATACGTATGTGCAAATTCTATAGATTCATGTCCTAAACTCTTGAAAAAAAAATTTGTTTTTGATCCCTTTTTGTTATATCAGATGAAGAAATGGATAACAAACTTTTAAAGCATTACTTATGCGTGAGTCTAATATATTAAATTCCTGTGGGACCTTGTAATATACGGAACCCTTATTCACGCTAGTCTGATTTGAACTTAGCCAATACATTTTTCCTTCTCTAGAGCAATTATTAAATAAGCTTGATGATACCTAAGTCTCGAAAGTGAAATCTAAACAAAAACGATGTATACATAACATATAGTTAAAAGTGAATGTCCCTTTTACCGGCCTTTCTACCGGATAAACTAGTTTCTTAGGTTATCTAAACCAAAACACTAAACTTTAATAGTGATTGGAAGGAGATTCTTTAAATATTCGTACTAACGTTATCAATTTAACAGTAATTTATAAGAAAAAGTATTTACCACTAGCTCAGTATGTAGGATTAACAACCAGACTATAATATTTTAACCGCGAAAATTTGTACTCATTTGTAATAAAATCCCTAAAAATACCCTAGTTTTATTTACATGTCAAATCTTAATATACACTAAAATTCAAAATGTAAATAATGAATATAACTTTTTTATTTATGAACCAATTGACATAATACTAATACTAAATGTTAAGTAAAACTTTCCATAATACATTAGTGATACTCGCATCCAAATCGGTTAAGCCAATTAGCTCGTACAAACGCACAGACAAACAGACAAAAATTGTAAAAAACATTGTTTTGAGTTCTATTGCGTTATATATAGTAGGTTTTGTCAGATATCTTATGTACAGACAGCGATTAGTTACACTTTTATTATATGTATAGATTTCTGAACAGATAAAAGTTTTAAATCTGATTGAATCCTTCAGTTTTATTAGTTACTTTGTCGTATAGTAACAATGAAAGCTCTATATTTGTTGTATTCAAACATAATAGGCAATAAGCAAAGGTTTTTCAATAGAAGTACCCGCGTCTATATGGTCACGTTTTCATGGCGTTTATTCATGGGTTGCCATGGTTACGCATGGCGATTACCGAAAGAGATGTGAAAGACAGAGAGATATTAATGTATGTACGTCTCGCTCACTCATTACTTTTTATTTTATTTCATTTATACGTATAATAAAATTCCAACTGAGTCGAATCTGTACAATAAATATTTGGGGTTTTGGTGAAATTTTGTACCATGACAGCTCG